TGAAGGTGGGCAAAAGGGGGCTGAGGGCACTGAGCCCATATCGGTGCAGACTGGATCCAAAGACAAGCTACCTCTCAAGTCACTCAGGCCAGCACAGGCTGTTTCCCCTGCAGTTAGAGGAAACACATTTATTTTCAGTGGTTTTGTTTTTTTTTCACCTATCTTCCTTTCCTATCTGAGGAGTTACTTGTGTGGGAGTGAGATCAAAAGCACTGTTAAAGCCAAGCAAGACCAGTAAATGTACAAGTCCTACAAGAATAAAAAGAGGAGTTGCTAATGGGAGATTGCTTCTGCCTCTCCCTCCAGGCTGCTGAAGCACAGCCTGCCCGGGGCTGAGCTGAGGATCAAAGAGGGATGCTGAGCCCGCAGAAAGAGCAGTGGGCAGGGAGGCTGCCAGCCTGGGCAGGTGGAGAGGAGCAAAGGCTCCAGTTCCCTGGGCAATGCGGAGCTCCATGGACAAGTCAGTCCACGGCAGGCTCCTACGGGAGCTACTGAGCTTCAGGAGCGGGGTGAGTGCTGCTGCATCTCTTTGTTCTTTCCAGCCACCCTTCTGCTCCTCTTGGCAAACACGTCATGCTTTGTCTGGAGAGACCTGTCTCTTCGTAATCAGAAAATACTGTTGGCAAGTCCCAAGGGGAAAGTGTCTGCTAGTGTCATGCAAAAGGGAGGGAGCAACCCTGGGAGCCACAGGGGAGATGTGAAGCCCTGCGCCTGCAGCAGGGACCAGGGCTGGCACTGCTGGGATGGGGAGCCTGGGCCTGGCTGCAGTGCAGCACCAGAAGGGTTTGGGAGCCAACGGGCAATGGTTTGGGAGCCCATGTGCACAAAAACCACAGCCCGTCCTGCTGCACCATGTGGTCTGCTGCTGCTGCACACTCAGTGGGGTCCTTGAGACTTTATAGGGAAAAGCCTTTGTCAGAAGTTTGCCAGATATCCTATGAAGGCAGGCGTTGTTTCAGGCTAATTCCTTCTCTTCGGTGTGCTGGATCGTGCCAGCTGAAGATGTTATGGGACTTGCTCACTGAATTCTCATTAAAACAAATGCATATTGGCCAGCAGACCTTGCCGTATGGCTCTGCAAAGCTTACCTTCAGCATCTCCTCTAATTTCTGTACCAGATGACTCCAGACAAGGCTATTAGCACAAACTGGGTAGGACAGGAACCAGCAGTAGCCTCTGCTGCCAGATTGTCCCATCTGCAGGTGTAATAAAGCACTGTCTTTGGGAAGCCCAAAGCTATCCTTTCCCGTTAGCCTGGGGCAAAACAGAGCAGCAGGTGCAAGGGTGGCTTTGCTACTGAAACCTGTTGATTCAGGAGTATTCGGTGATGTTTTTGTGGCTGGCACAATTTTTAACAGAAGAGAGAGCGTTAAGAGTGTTGTTAAGTAGGCCTCTGCTGAGAATATTTTGCTCTTCGGTAGCTGCTGTTCTTCTGGAGTCATTCTGGTGGCTCTAATGATGGCAGATGCTTCAATGTAATTTTCAAGGAAAAACGCTCAGTGTTGCCCCCCCCTTCTTGTTCCTCCCCAAGATAGAGTCTCACATAGTGTTTGTTTTTTTTTGTTGTTGTTCATTTGTTTTAGGAATGTAATTTGATAATTCAGTTGCTTGTCTGATAAATGTCTGCCCCTTGATCCCAGCTACAAGAGATGGAATAAAACGTAACTGGATTTGACAGACAGAATTTGTCTGCTGTGTTTGAGGCACAGCGAAGCAGCCCGGGGAGAAAAACATTACAGCAAATTATGCTTTATTATCTGCCTATGTGAACAGTGCCAGGTCAGCTCGGAGTGGGGAGTGAGCAAGTCCTCGAAAGGACAGCACCCACCAAGCTCAGAAAGCAGTGCCAGCCACTGGTCAGCCTCCAGGGCTGGGGATGCACAACAGCAAGCCCAGTGTTGCAGGTGCCCTGGTTGCAGTGGGGATGGCCACATGGCTCAGCCACTGCAGAACTGCCTCAGCCTTTTTTTTTTTTTTTATTTTAATACTTTTAAATAAGTTTAGTCTAATATTACTCTTTGGAGTGATTTGGGTTGTAGAGGCTGTTCACAGCATCCCCAAATGCATCCATTAATTGCTGTCCTTATTTTAAACAATTCAAGTTTCCTACAAGCTGACTCCTATTTAATAGCACCGGAGGGCCATCATCCAGAATGAGAAGACTGCACCTTCACTGCTGAGCCTGTTCGGAGCTTGTGCCAATGGTTTCCATCTGCCTTTCTGCTTTCTTAGTGCCTCTGTGCTTCAGGGGTGGGCAGTGCTGTGCTGTGGGTGCACAGCAGTAGGGTGCCCAGCTCAGCACCACTGCACTGGGTTGCTTCTAGCAACAGGAGCTCTTTTACTGGTGGTTTTGAAAGGGGTGATTAGATGCCCCTAAAATATTTCTTGCAAATAGCTGGAGCAGGGCACGAGAAGGAAAAAGTCTGTTATCCTCACAGGAGGAGAATAACTTGCTCCAAAGCACTCGCATCCTTATTCCTAAATTCACATAATGCCACAGGTACTTTTCCATCAGCACGGTGACTCTGATGTCACCCTGATGAGTGACTTTTTTTTTTCTCCTGTGTTCACTATCTGGATGGTAGCTATCTAACCTGACCAGATGTCCTCCATTCCTCCCACGTCAGAGCCTGCCTGCTCCTTTCCTGCAACATCCATCACACTCCAGGTCAGCTCTTCCTTGATTTGTGGGAGATGGCTGCCCAGCCTGCCTCACCTTTAATCATTCCTCTGACAGCAGCCGGAGAGATGAAAAGCTGGGGGGATCCAAGTAATCCATTTCCAAGTGTAAAAAGCCCAAAAATATGGAGGGAGAGCGGAAGGGAGCGAGTCAGTCCGCTGAGCAAACAGACCGATTACGTCAAGGGACAGGAAGAGCAGCGCTTGGAAATCAATACGGATGAGGCTTTGAAAAGGTTGACTGACTGCACTGGATTAGCTATCGATTTTTGTCACTTTCACAGCTAGTGCCATGCTCTCCACCCGCTGAGGCCATTAAGCTCTCAGGCCTTAAACTTCTAATCCCCCGCTAATAACAACAAGACAATGGCCTGGCAAGCTAAGGATCTAACAGGATGTCCGATGGCTTCGCTGCGGCACTGAGCGTGCCAGCGTCTGGAGAGCAGTCGCAGGCAGCCCGGAGACCACGCAGGAACAAAACGCAGATGCCCAGAAGGATTCGGCTCACACACCTAGGCCAAGTGCAAATCGGTGTTTATTGGTAAGAGCCTCCGACTGGCTTCCAGTTAGCACGAGCAGCGTGAGATGCTTCATTTTTGCAGGAGCTTTCTCAGCGTTGATGTTTTTTTGGAATAATCACAGCCAAGAATCTTGCTTGTTTTCAGGATAACATTGGTAGGGATGCACAAGAGCCTGGGCTCCCTCTCCGATGGCTGGGGCTGCATTTGAGCATCATGCCATCACCATAACATAGTTCATTCAGCATGCCCAGCTGCAGGGAAGCCAAAGAAACCCTGAGCTTAATTTGAGGTAGGACTGCAACAAAAAGGGATATTGGAAGGAGTCAATCCCGTATTGAGTGGGGACAGCAAACAGGAAAGGATGAACGGAATATCTTTTGTGATGGGAAGTGACTAAGAAGGGATAGAAGAAACAGATATAGGAGAGATCAGGGCATGAGTGAGTGCTTCCAAGGCTGGGAAACTGAGCTAGCTTCTTTCTGTACAACCCTTTATACAAAGTAGAGCAGGTTTGCCAGGTCACATCAGAGTGCTTGTCCCAGCTCGGCTTCCCAGCCTGCAAGCAGCAGCTGCTGTGTAGACATCCAGTCATGGATGTGGCCCCACAAACTTATGTCAAAACTCCGTAGCTTGCTCTCTGGAAGTAGTCTCAGTCTATTTCCAGCCTCCAGAGCCTTGAAAAGTGTGTCGGCATGTCCCCAGGTTCGATCCCACAAGGCAAGTCATCTGCATGTCTCAGCTTTGCTCCCTCAGCTGTGGAGGTGTAAAGCAGCTGGGTGCAGCCCACCCAGGGCCCCCCTGCCCCTTCTGCCACCCACTGCTCCATGCCACACTCCTGTTTCTATCCAGCTCCAGGTCCTATACAGCTGTGACTGGCCAGGTATGCTGAAAAGAGGAGAAAAAACTGGATTTATTCTGTATGTTCTTCAGTTAAAGTTCAGTCTTTGAGCCATGCTCAGCAGCATCCCTTTCTTTTTCCCCCAAGCCTGTGCAGTCCACAACCTGCTGCACATCAGGCTTTACAAGACACCTCCATGTCCATCATCTCTGAAAACACCCCAGCACATTCCTAGGGTATATTTATTTATCTGTGGGAGAAACAGAGATCTGTATGGAGCCAAGAGAGCTGGCAGCGGTGGGGTGCAGGAACAGTGCCGTGTCCCCAAGCCTTCTGCAGGCAGCTGTGCGTGTGAGGGGCTGATTAGAGCCTGTCGGGGGGACATTCAGCCTTTTGTGCCTGTGTTATAAATGCTTTGAGGGAGCACTCAGCTTTTCTGAGAATCTCAGTCTAAATGTTGACAGTTTGATTTTGCTCGGGTTTGGTATTTATTTTAAGGGCCTTTGCGGTTCTCAGAAACGAAGGGATTATTGTCAATGTACAAAACAAATGGGCTCTGCCAGATTTCATCCCTTTGGAAGCAGGGAGATAATGCTCCTGGAACAGCAATCATCCCTGCCCACCCAAACGGGCAGCAAACAAAAGCAGGAGGACTTGCGCGGGAGCAGATAGAGCGTCCCCATTCACAAATCTTGTGCAAATCCGGAGCATGCAACGCCGTGCTCTTCCTCAAGCCTTCTCGTCGGGCAGCTGGCCAGCTGGCAAAAGTGCGTCAAATTGAAATGTTCTCGCTTGTTTTCTATTCAGATTGGTCCTTCCTTTTTCAGGGCCAATGCATGGCTTCAACCCTTCTATAGTGTAAGTCCTCCTGAAGTTCTCCAAAAGCATAGGAAAGGGAAAAGGCATGCACAAAGACATAGGAAACAAACAATTTTTATTATTTTTTTTTAAATTTACTACAGCACACCTGAAGTACCTGTCCTGAAATCAATGGGCCTATGCAGAACCAATCCTGGGGTAAATGACAGAAGATTCTTTAAGGTGAATCACTTTGTGGCTACTGAGATGAAAATAACCCTGTCTGTGCTTGTACCTTTCTGTTTTTTCCTTGCATTCGTTGATACGTGTTTTAACATTGGTTCAGATTTACTTAGAAATATTTTCATACTTCCTTTCAAGAGTGGCTGGAGAAGATGTTATATGGAAAGTCTCATTCGATCTGAATTAAAGATTTTATTTTTTTATATAATTTTCTTGGAGAAAACAAAAAAAACCCTGGTTTCATTCCACTCAAAATTATTTTCCCATTTTCTCAAAATTGAAGAAAACAAATCCCTTAATTTCTCAGCTCTCATCAACATCCCCCCCGAGGCTTAGGCAGAATGTTTCGAAGAAAGCATTTGAAGGGATTATTACTTTACAGCTGCTGGGAAGGGTCGGGCTGGGGGAAGAGATTAAACGACATAACCTCTCACCTTATACAGTTAAATAACTTGGGGGAGATCCATAGGTGGTGCAAATCACTTTAGCTCAAAAGCCCTTTTATTTTTATTATTTATTTATTTTATTTTTAAAGAGAAGATTTATTTAGATGTTGATTATTTTAAATAGCTGTCACTTGTCTCAAGGAGATCACAACTGGAAAATGAGTCCCGTGAGCAAACAGGCTTGCTTATTAGGTAATACTGCCATGCATGTTTTGCCATGTTGTTTTGCTGATTCCCTCTATTTATTTTCTTTAAATAAAAGTAACAGTCTGTGAGCGGTTAGAGGAAGAGGGAGACGCCAGCAACAGCCAGAAGAAGAACCTGTGCGTCACGCGTGGTAAGTCTGTGTTAACCCGTGGGAGCAGGTGAGTCCCCAGTAGGCACGTGGGATATTTGTGGGGCAGAGAGGGGCAGGTCCCTGCTGCCCTCCTCTGCTCCAGGTGGCCATCCACCATCTCCTCTTGGGCTATGGGCATCCTCCCCTCCCCAGCTGCTCTGGCAGTCACTGGCTGAGAGCTGGATTTGGATGCTGCTGCTTTAGTTTGTCAGTACAGGATGGGCCACTTCAGTTTACCTCCTGTGTACTGTGCTGATCCATTGACTTTCCTTATGATTAAAATTAACAGTAAAACAAACCATTTATCACAGCTGATCATAACAGAGAGCACCACCTTTGCAGACCACACTAAGTTTAGACCAGAAACCGTTCAGCACAGAGGTGTGGCACTAAGCACAGGCAGATATTCATGGGTTCTAACACTCAGGCAGGGCTTTACTGGGGTAAATACCACCACCATTTCTCCAGACTTAGCCATCTCCCACCCTGCTGTATCCACAAGCTCTGACACCGCTGCTGCCGCAGCTCTCTCCTCCTTTGGGTGGGAGAGGCCGGGCGGCCTCCATCCCTGTGGGGAGGCCGCAGCCTCCCAGCCACTGGCACCAGCACGTGCAGCCCTGCCGCCCGCGAGGTGAGCGCGAGGCACGGTGTGCTATTTATTTTACAGGAGGAAGAACACTTTTTTTTTTTTTTTGGTTGTTTTATCTCTTTCCAGACAGTTGGCTCAGTTTAATGGACTGTCTTTCAGGCGGTGCATAATTCTTCTCCAAATTAAATTCTCTTAGAAGCCCAACATAATACAGACCGTGTTGTCAGCTCATTACTTTTACATCCTTTCTTGTTCTGTTTATGTGAGCAGAGGTTTAATTAACTATAATCTACTGTGTAGGCAACAGGAAAAGAACACTCTACTTGAAGGTATGTATTTCTGCTCTATTATATTTGTGAATATTTTTGGTGGGGGAGAGTTACCCTTTCTATCCACGAGCAAGGCAGGTTGCTGTAGGTTTCTATGCAAACGCCTGGGGAAGCCTAAGGCATCCACATTCATCTGTCCCCTCCTAGTGACCCTCATCAGCATCCTATTCAGCAGTGGACTGGAGTTAAACCTAGGAGGAAAAGAAGAGCCTTTGTTGGCTGCAGCCTCAGCCCTGCGAGCTCGTGGCACAGGCTGGTGTTTCCTCCAGGGAAAGATGGCTCAGTGGGAGGCAGCAAGAAGCATCTCTCATCCCTCTGCAGCCCCAAGGCAAAGAGCCCAGCTGCCTGCCCATCTGTGCTGCACCTATGATGTCTTCTGTGCCTCTGAGGTCATTTGTCCTTGTCCGTGATGGCAAAAAGCACAGAAATTCCAGCTCACAAAGTGAGGCTCACAGCTTCAGCCTTTGCGCTGTTCTCATTTCTCAGACTGTGGATTCAAATGCTGCAGAGGCTTTCCCAGTGACAAGATTATAAAGCAGATGCTTTCCTGGTGCACATTTATAAGGCTGTTTCATCCACAAATTATGCTTTTATCCAGAGCACTCTGAGTGCCCAAACAAGGGCACACACCTGGGCAGAAGGCAGTATAGCAAAGGTACTTGGTTTTGCACAAATGCCAAGGTTTGCCGTAAGTTAAGCCTCGGTTTAGTTGGGGGTTGGTACTTGTTATGTGGGGTACACTTAGATCTCACCAGCCAGACTCAGATTCCCTCAGAAATTCACAGGTTTTGTCCAGAAGCTATCAAGAGACAATGTTAGCATTTGCTATTCATTAAATTCAAATTGTTTGATTAAAATCAATTTAAAGAAATTGTTCTTATAGTTTTTACCTTTTACCATTTTACCATTATCCCTAGTTCATATGCAAAGAAGGGATGCGAGACTGAAAGTCTGCTTGGAGTTCCTGCTGTGTTAAAGGTTCAGAGGAATGCTATTCCCCATCACAGCTCTGCCCCCAAAAAAACAAAGCCGCCCTCCTGCTGGCAGCGGGTGGCCCTTCCACACCTGCGCCAGGCAGACTGGCAGAATGGGGTTACAGCCGCTGGGGCGGGTGCTGTCCTGGGGATAGCTGCAAAGAACTCCTGAAATGTGCTCTTCTGTAACCGAGCCTGTTGGATTTACATATAAAACCACACCATCTAGTTGAGGATCTTTGTTTTACTGGTTAAATCACAAGCGGGTTATGTTGCTAAGATCACAGGAGCTTTACAAATAATTTATCACGGTTGCCAGTGTCAAAGCATCCCAGACATTACAAGTGTCTATTCAAAATAATTTTAACATTCAGTCTCAGCCCAGCTCATGGTTTTGTTGCCTTACGCCCACGTAACAATAAACAAGTGGCTTCTGTGCTGAAGGCAAATCATCCTGCTCCCACACCCACTGCAGATAGCAAGGCTCTTGCCTGATGAGGCCCCTTGGGTGCCTAATTTCTTTCTACTCACCTTGCCATAGCTGGCAGAAAAATTTCAGCTTATTGATAGCTGTGTGTATGCATGAGCACGGGGCTCACAGGGCAGACAGAGGGCACCCACTGCTGCTGTGGCTGCCGTTGCAGAGATCATTTGGTCAATGATATATTTCGTTATGGCTTTCCAAACAGGCAAATCTCATTAGATCACTTCAGGAAGAAGACTTCATGGGCTCTTTCTAACAGTCAAGAATCCTCCCACCCATAAACTGGTCACGAGATGTCTTTTTTTTTTTTTTCCCCTGACTGCTCAGCTTTATTCAGACTCATCCCTTCCACATCATTACCATCGTGTGGGTTGAATGCGAGCCCTTAATGATTGGTTTTCAAAAGCTCTGGATGGTCACACGTGGCAGATGGAGCTCCCCGTTCCTGGCCAGAGGGGGTGACCCTTGCAGAGGACACTGCCACCACACGTGTGCTCCCATGGGGACTGACTCTTGGCTTTCCATTCAGGCTGTCCGGTTTGAAAGGTTCACCCTCCAAATGGCTGCAGGATTGCCTGTGATGATTCCTGTATTTGCAGAGTGCTCCTGTGTGCACCGATGAACAAAACTCCCTTTCATGCCAATGAACACGAGTGAGCTCAAAGCCAATCTTTTTCAATATGAGACTATTCATGCAGCTACTTTCTGGCATTCCTTTTGCTCTAATTACAGCTACTTTTTTTCTTTGCTTCATTAATGAACGAAGACACTCAAGCCTCAATTCGCAAAGGCATTTAGGCATCCGACTCCTGCTGAAATCCCTGGTGAATCTAAGCATTAGACACTCCTCAACTCTCCTCTCGCTCACAAAATAGCGCAGGAGACCTGCATGGCATTATTTCTGATTTGTACCAAGCCTAGGTGAGTGAAGAATCAGAGCCCGTGTTTGCAAGAGGAAGGATGCTCGGTGATTGAAATACGAACTGGGAGGTTGATGATACAAGTGCTGTTTCCCAGCTCTGCACCTGACATTGTGAATGACCTTGAATAAATCACATCCCTCCTGTCTGCAGCCATCCAGCACGTCGCTGCCTCGCAGGTTTGCGAGGCTCCATGCTTTCATGTTCATAGATAATCTAGCCTGGGCTGTCCCGAGGGTACTGGATGTTTATGTCCCCTTTGGGACTCTCACTTCCTCAGTCTCTTTGAAAATGCCAATTTTAGAGATTACTGCAAGGAAACAGAGATAGGGTCCAGCACAGGCAGGAAGAGCCTGTCACTCAACTCAGCATTCCCATCTTTAAAAACAGGAAAAAGGACAGCAGAAAAACATCACAGGCAAAGTTAATTGCCTTATGTTTATACTGGAGGATCTCAAGTTTCCCCTCAAGAGTCACTTTTCATCTGCCCACATCTGTTCATAGGCAGGGCTGTGGTCTCCTGGTGCCGAGTGACAATGCATCTGTAGGCAGAGCCTGTTGACTGCGCACCGCTGCGCGGTTCGCCTTGTATCTCAGTCGGATTTTTCAAGGGCAACACAATTTGCCAGCAAAAGATTGTGCTTTAGTTGAAAGTGTTGAGGAGTGGCTTGATCCTCCTCTGTATGTCATTGCAGCACTGTGCGGGATGCTCAGGGAGGACCCCAGACACCCTCTGGGGTACAGAAGAAATAATGTTTGCTGTTCGTGCCGTGCCCTCAGTTGCACTGTTGGGCTGTAGAGAACTCTGTGTTCATTAAGTCGCAGAGGGAGGGTTTTTAAAGTTTGTGTTTTCCTCCCTCCCAGATTTTGCCTTGCAGCCATCACAAATGCCAAACCTGGCCTCACTTTGCTGGAGAACCTGAGTTAAAACAGAGAGGGAGCGTTGCCACCCCGGTGCAGGGTGTGCTGTTCTCACTGAGCCCAGACCAAGTCTGGCAAAAAGTTCTCCAGAAAGCAAACTTTTATTGCATGCACCTCTGATGTGCACACTGTTTCCTT